ACAAAACCTGACCCAGGATGCTCTGCTCCCATCCAATTAAAAAATTATTTGGGGCAATTGCTAGCACCCTGCAGCTAATAGCTGCTTCAGGACGACCCCCCTCAGCCCCGGCTAAGGCTCCTACCAAACCATCAAGACATTACAAAGCTTGTAACTCACACACATCTTTATTCTTGACTACAGAGTTATTTCTGCATGTGGACATGTTTGCAGAGGTGACAGCAGGGCACAGGTGACACTCTGAGCAGAAAACTCAAGGACAAACAGGAGGTGGTAGCTTGGGCTACCCCTATCCACCAGGTGAAGGGGACAGTTGAGCAGAGCAAGACCAGCAGGTAAACTGAGGCTCTAGAGGAGACAGGCCAAGGTCAAGGAGAGAAGACAGAAGAAGCTGCATGGGGGCTTCTCATGGGGGGGTCATGGCTGCCTCTGGAAGCAGCACCCTAGGGTCCCTCCCCCTCTGCCCAAGAGTACCACTCCATCAGTGAGAAGGTTTGCTGACCGGGGCCCCGAGAGCAAAGCACAAACACACTTCTCATGGCAAGAGCACAGACACATAAGCAGAGTGCAAAGCAGTCGGGGATCAGGGGTTCATTTTCAGCCCCAGACACAGTGCCAACTCAGACTTCTGGATCTTTCCATCCTTGTTCACATCACAATGGCGAAGCAGAATCTCCCAGAACTTATCAAGATCCACACCGCTGATGCTGGGCTGAGGACAAGAGGACATAGTCATTCAGAAAGCCAGTGTCAAACTCCCTGAGTCCCCTAAGCATTGAGAACTTGGGGGTAGGGCAGATGATGGGCCATGAGGAGCCCAGCACAGCAACTGCCTTTTTATCCCACCCAAGGTCCCTAATGTCTGCTGGCCGTGGCCTGATTTCTTAGCCTGCGCCTTTAGGAAAGGTAAATAAACATTTCTGAAGTCTTATTTCCATATCACGTCCCACAGTTGTTTCAGAAAAGCCTGCCTTATAAGCAATTGGCTTGAAGGCATTTTGCCCCAAAGCAGAGAACTGTGACAGGAGTCTTTGATGAGTATGCTGATGAGAGAAGACATCTTTTATTATTGTCCGTGGGATGTTTAGTGCCTCTGCTTTACAGAGGGTTCATACACAAGGAAAATCCAGTGTCCATGATAGATAGCAAAGTAGCAGCTGAGGCTGCATTCCAGGCATGCTTCCAGACTAAGGAGAGACAGTTCGACCTGCATGCAGGGAAGCATTCCAAGTTTCCACACACCACAGCCAGAGAGACTCCTGTCACACCTGTCACCCCATCCTCACAGCTGCCCAGGAGGGAAATAGTGGCCGCCTTTGCCCAGACTAGGGAATAGGCTTGGAAGAACTCAGCCTTCTTCCCAGGGGAGAGAGCTGAAGTTTTTATGCCAGGTCTCCTGGCTGACCAAGCTCTGGCTCCACCTCACACAGCTCTAGAGGAAGCTGGGGGATGGATCAAAACTGCAGAACTGATATCCAAAGAGAAGAGAATCAGTGAATCTGATGTCCGTTCTTCTTGATTACTTGAGTGAGGAGAAAAAGGGCAGCTTTCTTCCAGAGACTTCTGAGCCCCCGGGGAAGCACTCCCCAGGCCCCCCAACCCTGCCTCAAGCTTTCTTCACTTCCAAAGAAACCTCTGAAAGATCTTCGGTAGGAGAAAAACCTTCCATTCCCAAACTAGAGAGACAACCAGGGGACCTAGTCAACACTCCAGCAGGGAGAATGAGGCTCCCTTCTCTCCGCTAACTCTAGCCTGTGTCAAGTTGACGCTGCATCTGTCCTGACCGTGGCTGTAAAGGGAGAAGGAGAAAAGAGCAGCAGAAACTAAAGGGGCAGCAGGCTGGGATAGAGTTGGGAGGGGCCGGGGACCACTCACACCTCCATCAAAAGCATCAGGATGGAGCAGGCTGCAAGGACAAGATGAAATGCATTGTTACCAGGTTCCTTTCGCTGGGTTCAAAAAGCATCGTTTCCTGGGTCCTGAGTACAAGGCAGGTGTGTGTGCAGCTCAAGGACATGTAGCTTAGAAGTCTTTATGCAAACCACACAAGAAGTCCCGTGAAGAACTCGTCTGTTGTACAGATGCAAAGTGGAGATGTCTGGTCCTCAGCATCCTTAGTAACTCACTGCTATAGCTCTTCTCCAGTAAGTGGCACCCAGCTCCAGTACCCTTATGGTAAATACTTATGCTTAGAGAAGACTGGAGTGGTAGACATTTCCACCTAAGCATCAATTATTTGCCAGTGTGTTTACCTCATTCAAATTATCTTAACCTTTTTATTCCTATTTGAAGAATAATATATTTTATTTCAGAATAATTATTTCTTTCGATGGTTGGGTTTTTTGAGTAGTGGGAAGTAAGGAGGGAGGCTGTAAGAGAAATTCCACTGCACTGTGTAAGTTATGCTTTTAATGCTAGGCATGTCACTATGAGTTAGGAAAGCTGCATATTGCTACTTAAAAATATCTGGATCACTGAGGGTGAAACACAGAGCCATGGGGCCTCCATCTTTAAGACTATCTTACTAGCAAGTCAGTGACACAGGAGCGCTTAGATTCCTGGCCCAGGGGCTCTACAAACATAATCTCAGATCTTCAGATCAAACATAGGAGGTAATGGAGTTTCTTCCTTAATTACAGGTGAGTAAACTACAGCCCAGAGACCGTCTAACAGGCCATCATCATGCAGGTGTCTTGGAGTCAGAAAGCTGACTCAACAGGCAGCCCAGCACCATATTGTAAGCGTTCATTTTAAAAGTGGAACTTCTCTCTCATCTGCCTCAAAGGACCACCTGAGACTAGGCCCAGGGCAACTGAGTGAACACTACTGATCTGCCTCCCATGAGTCTTGGGAATTGGGGTATTTCAGGACTGACCCCCTGACCCCCATGCATGCTCATAGCCAGTGCTTTTTCCTCCTGTCTGTGGATTTGTGAGTGACCCTGTCGCTCAATGTCATCCTCAGGTTTTCATCATACCCCATCCCTTCTGCATTCCAACTCTCCTGAAAGAATGGAGCCAGTGTCCAGCCCATCAGCCAGCATGCCCACGTCTCTGGGCTAGGGCCCTGTATGTGTTATGAACACCAGAGGCCTGGACTATACATGGAGCTCAAGGTCAGCCTAGCCGACGTAGTGAGACTCTGTTTCCAAGTAGAAATGAAAACAGGCTTGGACTTTAGCTCAGTGGCAAAGTGCTTGCCTAGCATGGGTGAGGTCTAGCCTTCAATCTCCACTGTGGCAATCGAAACTAAAGACAAGCAGGAGAGAAAATGGGTCTGTAGATGCTAAATGGCACCCATGATCACCTTGCCAGCTAGTGGGGAACCGGTGCCTGGAACACTAGGTAGTCAGCCTAGAACTTGAACTCTTAGCCTATGTTCTCCTTGGCTTCTTAAGTTTTGGTTTATTTTTGATAATTATAAAAACATTTAAGGATGATTTGTGTGTGTGTGTGTGTGTGTGTACTGGCACGTGCAGTGCCCAAGGAGGACAAAAGAGAGTATCAGATCCCCTGGAGCTAGAGTTCCAAGTGATTGGGTGGTTGTGAGCCACCCAATGTGAATGCTGGAAACCACATTCTGGTCTTCTGCAAGAACAAAAATTGTTCTTAATTGCTGAGCTATCTCTCCATCTCTTCATTTTTTTATATGCAGAGATAATTTAAAATGAGAAAAGGAAGCAAGCACTTTAAAACTATGGTGAGTCAGTTGCCCTTGGACACAGCCATCCTGTCTTCGAGGCTTTCTCCCATGCCTTTGGCATGCGAGTGTTTCAGACAGAATTATACTCTATGATGTGGTCAGTCATTCGCTGGGCTAAAGATTCCTTTTGGGAAATTCTCTCCCATATGTTTGTCATTTTCCAGATCAGAAATGCACTCTAATGATGACAGCTGATTTGTTCTGAAGCGGTAACAACGACTGGGACTTTGGGAAGCCGTATTGTCTCAGGGACCATGGTATATCTACAGCATCCCTAGTTACCACCTAGCCTCGGAAGGCAAGTCTCACTGGGCACCACTTGTGGGTGACAAGTCAGGCAACAGAAGGCTCGAGAAACTTGTCCACAGACATAAACTTACAAATAGCTGTATGGGATACAGTTCTGATATGTTGGACAGAAAACTTCCCAAGCAAAGAAGAAAGGAAGAGAAGAAGAAGAAATGGCAGGTGCTGGGGGAGAGGGAGGATCAAACACTGAGTGTCGGGAGAGTGCTTTCCAAGTTCTGCACACGAGAGGATTTTAGCGCAGCTCTAGTTGGGTCTCCACGTGTGATGTCCGGCCCTGTGTGGGGATCACAGGAGGATTAGCAGAGCAAGCACTCTGCCTGATTATGGAAGACCCAGGCCTACGCTCTGTCAGAACCCAGGTCCTGTGACACAGAGGAAACCAGGCAGCTTGCTTTCCCGTTCAATCTATGAGCGCAAACCAAAACTCCAGTTGGGCCTGTCCATCTGCCATGAAACTTTAATATCCCCGAGATGATTCCTTCATTTCTATTAGCCAAGCTGTTAAAGAGGAAGTGGACAGAATGGGATTGTCCTTTAACCAGCATTCAAAAGGAAATACCACACAAATAGCTGTCACTTATTCTGGTGGAGAATGCCTGTGGTGTCTTCAGCGGGAGCCACAGAGCAAGGGGTGGGGGTGGGGGTAGGGGAGAGAGCCACAGAGCAAGGCGGGGAGAAGTGAGAGCCACCGGACAAGGATAGAACAGTTGAGGGGTCACTGGGGTGAGAATGATAAGTAGGGAGACACAGAAGATGTGACAGTGATCCTGACTGAACGTCACACAGAACTGTGCCTGTGTCTGCTCTGCCACAGAATGCCAACGTCCTAGAGATCTGTGCAAAAAAAGGACAACATCCTTTTTTTTGTTGCAAGGTTTCCTAGTTTTAATCATATTTGCAAATAATTCTGAGATTTCAAAAGTAATTAATAACTGTTACTCTAATTTTTTGCTGTCTGGAACAGCCAGTATGCAATCATTGCGCATCTAATAATGTGCTTCAAAGTAATCCCTGAGTACATAGACGACTAAATCCACTGTCTACACTGCTCCCTGGAGAAAGAGAGACTGGAATTGTCTGTGTAAGGAGATTATAAACAAGTTTAGAGAATAAAGTTCAAAAGAAGGAGATTGTCATTTTAGAAACATTGTCTACCCTCCAGAAAACAGCCAGGTGATATAATAAAATCTAAATCACTTCAGCCCGAGACTTAGCAATGTCATAACAATACATATCCTTCCTCGGATGGATGTTTGAAAAACCCCTTGGTTAAAAAAAAAAGTGCTGTATGAAATTAAATTTAAAATTGTAGCTACTGTAATAATGAAGTCTGAGAGAGGCAAGTAGAGGGGAGAAAATACTCCAGGCAACTGAAAAATAAACCAGTAAAATACACAGTAACAATGGGCTATTTGGGAAAAGTAAATGACTTTAAAATGATGGTTAAAACACACTTCTATGTTGATTATGTGTTATTTTAACTCGTGTGATCTTAAGAAAGTGAAAAAGATGTGTTGAGTCTCACAGAATCTCAATGGCTATGAAATAGGAAATGAATGTCTCCAGATCTTTCTCTCTAGTATTAATCTTCAGCCTCACTCATTCCCAGAAATAAACAATGCAATTTATCACAATGTCAACCCCAATGCATGATGGGAATAACCCTTCCAGCCTTGTGAACTCACCTGGACCAGCTCCATCATGTCTTTGACAAATCCATCCACCTCTGGTCCTTCCAGGGCTCCAGTCTTACTCTGAAGGATAAAAATGATCCAGTCACTCAAATATCATTTTCTTAATTCAAAAAGCTAAAGAACACATTTGACAAATTGACCAATCAGTGTTCATTTGTAACTGCCAACCATTTTAGAAATGGGGTGCTCCATTTTTTTTTTATTCTCAAGGGGTTCTAGTGCCCTGCATGAATAAAAGAATCCCTCATTAACAGCTTCCTGCCCCCATCTCTCTGAGCTCCTCAGCAAACAGCACTGACATGAAATGTACTCATGTCTGCTTCCCATGGCCTGGCTTCTGTTCAGGGAAGTGTTAACTGCACACCAATCACCCTTAGAAGACAGGTTGGACATTTAAAATATTTGCTTTATAACTGAGCAATCATTTGGTCACTACTGAAAGTGTGAACTTTAAATAGAGGGAGGCTATATTGAATCAGTATATGAAACATTGTTTTTCCTGTCTATAGGACGTTTTTCCTACTCATTCTGTAACCTATGTAAACATGAAAGTAAAATGAAGTACAGACATTCAAACATGTCCATTTGTCCTAAAGTACCTGTTATAATAATGCCTTCCACCTCACAATGTTGTTAAAGATGTACTGATTTTTATTCCATGTATATGGGTGCTCTGCCTGCCTGTATCTCTGTGCACCAAGTGTGTGCCTGTGCCCCTGGTGGCTGGAGGAGGGTGTCGGATCCCCGAGAACTAGAGTTGCAGACAGTTGGAAGATGTCATGTGGGTGCTGGGAATTGAACACGGGTCTTCCGGAAGAGCGGCTGTTGCTGTTAACCACCCAGCCGTCTCTCTCGCCCCTCCCTACTTCTTATTTTTGAGACAAAAATCTCACTCTGTAATCCACCCTAGTCTTGAACTCACAGCAGATCCTTCTGCCTCAGCCTCCTGGGTTCTGGGATTGAAGGCATGAACCAGCACCCCTGAATCCCATCTACTCTCTCCGTGTGTCCTTTACTCTCATCCTTTAACATGTTTTTTTGAAACTGCTTTCTTTCCTGGATTCACTAGCAGGTCAATGCTTCATACCAAACTCTGCTGTAAAAGCTTCACAAATGCAGTTCACACAGCTCTCACAGCTCTGTTCATTCTTAACCTGATCCCCCTAGCTTACAGATAGGGGGGAAAGGCAGGGAGAAGCCAGGCAGTGATGATGCACGCCTTTAATCCCAGCACTCGGGAGACAGAAGCAGGCGGATCTCTGTGAGTTCGAGGCCAGCCTGGTCTACAGAGTGAGTTCCAGGACAGCCAGGGCTACATAAGAAACCCTGTTGCAAAAGGTGGGGTAGGAAGAATAAAGAAATTGAGGTACCTATTCCACGTCACATGACTGACAAATCCAGGTGGAAAGCTGGACAACAGACGAAGTAAGTACCTAAGTGCTGCCTTGCCCAGGCACAGTGCTTCTGCTCAAAATGCAGCCCAGGTGTTCTGGGATGTTAATTTCATGGAGAGAGTTCTTAGGACCTCCCACCTTCTTGTTCACTTGCCCTTTCTCACATTATCCCACCGTGATCTCCAGAAATTCAGTTTGGTGTTCCAGAATGATTGTCCCCACCTGTCTTGGGGTTTCTATTGCTTTGATGAAACACCGTGAGGAAAGAGCAAGCCGGGGAGGAAAGGGTTTATTTGTCTTACCCTTTCCAGACCATAATCCATCATTGGAGGAAGTCAGAACAGGAACTCAAGCAGGGCTGAATCCTGGAGCAGGGGCTGACGCAGAAGCCATGGAGGAGAGCTGCTTACTGGCTTCCCCTGGTTTCTCAGCCTTTCTTATAGACCCCAGGACCATCAGCCCAGGAAGGCACCACCCCCAATAGGCTGGGTCCTCCCCCACTGATCACTAATAAAGAAAATGCATTACAGCTGGAGCTCACAGAGGCATTTCCTCAGCGGAGGCTCCCTTCTCTCCGCTAACTCTAGCCTGTGTCAAGTTGACGCAGCAACCAGCCAGTGCACCACCTGGGGAGTGGTTGGACAATCACTCCATGAGAGAAACCATTTTACCCTAGGCAGGACTGACTTTGTCTGGATCCTTTGGTGGGACGGGGAGGATTTTTCTGTTTGTTCATTTCTTTTGGCACACACAATAAATGTCTGGTCTTGGAAGGGGAGCCTTTCTCATAGTTTTACAAGCCAATAAAAGCATTATGAATACCTCTCTGTTCAACTATAAATCAGCTTTGCCCATTCCTTAACCATCTGATGTTACATAACGATGCTCAGGGCACCTTGACCGAACAGCACACTCAGGGGACCGCCATTCACTGTCTCGGGCTAGACCTTGTCGGTAGGGTGGTGCCACACGGGAGCAAAGGGAGCTTTCTACCCTAAAGATGGCTTCAAAGCACGAAGAGCACTTACAACATCATAATGGGCGAAGATTTTCTCAAAGTCCCTCTTCCTCTCTTCCGAAGAAGAAGCCTGGGTGTGAAGAAAACATTACGTCAATCCAGCAATGCACAGCCACTGGTGTGTAATCCCCATAAGGTCTTGGGCAACCCTTAGAAACTTCGAATCAATAACCCTTTAAAGTTCCTTGATCATTGTCAGTCTCTAAAAGAGTTAAGACAAATAGATGTCTTCTTGTATAGTTTGAATGGGAAATGTCCTCCACGGGTTCATGTATTTACATTTTGTTGCCAGATGGTGGCGCTGTTTGGGGAGGCTGTAGAACTGTTAGGAGATGGGGCCTTGCTGGAGAAAGTGAGTCACCAAGTAGCTAATCTTTAGGTTTTATAGCACAGCCCTACTTCCCACTGGGTCCTCTGCTTCCTGATCTACCCAGATGTAAGCAAGCTCCCATTTTCACAGCTACAGGCTGCTCCAGCCTTCATGCCTCCCCTACCATGACGGCCATGATGGACTGTATCTCTGTAACTGTGAGCCAATATACATCTTCCTCCCTTCTTGCCAGATTTTTTACCTTAGCGACAAGAAAAATAACTAATTTACCTTCCTTTTTTTTCTTTCTTTCCAGATACATAAAGAAACAAGGGTAGCAGAAACCCATCAAGAGAAATGTCATCACTTACATCCATTTTAAATTGGAGAAGGAAGTTTTCCTGAAGAGCCAGAATCCTAAATGGGAAAAAGAATAAAATCCATGTGACCCTCTGTAAACTCTCCCATCAGTTGGCAAATGGGCAAATGCACAGCTCTGGGCAGAGGGAAAGATGGATGGTTTCCTCGTTACCCTGAAGAACTAACTGTACAGAAGCTTGAAATACAGGAATTCCTACATCATAAATGCAAGGACAGTGATGGGCAAACTTTCTCAGTGATCCCCTTCACTGCACAAAGCTTTAATGACTCTTCCTGGTAGGAATTCTAGACTTCTGAAAGTTTGCCCCACAAGAGCAATGAAAAAATTGGAAAGAATGGTCAGAGCAAGGTTTGTAAAACTCTGAAAAATCATTTAAAGCCTTCAGCAGTCTGGGGAGAGCTTCTTCTGTAAAAACAGTGGGATCAGCATGGTGTGGTGGTGGTGCAGGTCTGTAGGCCCAGCACTCTGGACACTGAGGCAGGAGACTTTTGAATCTGAAGCCACCAGGGCTTCAAAGACACTGTCTCAAGGAATCAAAATAAAACAAAAACAAAACTTAGAAAAGCCGCTACATGTTGACAAGAAGAAGAAATGTTGTAGCATTCTGTTTCCCCACATGTCCTGGGAATTCACTGTTGCAGACATTTGAGGAAGCCTTGGATTGGGAATATGCTTAGTGGTCGAGGACCAGTCTCACATGGGCAAAGCCTTGGCTGTTATGCCTGGCTCCCATTTCATCCACAACAAAGCAAAAGCCACCTCTTCCTGGCCACAAATTGACCATTCAGCTACCCAAGAAGAGACTTCAGTGGATACATACAATGAAGAAGACAGACTGTATGGAACTCGTTCAGAAATGCCACCAAACAAATGAACAATGAAAGCATCATCACCAACAAATATGTCCTATATGGAAAACTAAATGGAGTCCTTGGTCTGAAATGAGAGGACACTATGCAGAAACTTGAATCCATGTGAAGAACCAAAAGCACTAGCAAAGGTAAGCACAAGAGCAATTATAAAAGGCAGCGGGAGGGGCTGGAGAGACAGTTCAGCGGTTAAGAGCATCGGCTGCTCTGGTAGAGGATCCTGTTTCAACTGTAAGTACACAGCAGCTCACAACCTCCCATCACTCCAGTTTCTGAGGTTCTGGTGCCCTCTCCCAGCTTTCAAAGGTACCAGGCATGCAAGTGGTGCACAGACATACATGCAGCCAAAACATTCATACACACATACACATTTTAAAAAAGAGGCAGGATTAATGTCATTGTTGTTGTTTATCATGTTTTAGCCTCATCAAGCAATTATTCAAAGTGTATGCCCCAGGCACCTGATGTACTGCCAGTTTCTCAGAAGACTGAGGCAGGAGGATCCTTTGAACATAGTAGTTCAAGGCCAGCCTAGACAACACAGCAATAGCCTATTGAGAAAAAGAAGGAAGGAAGGAAGGAAGGAAGGAAGGAAGGAAGGAAGGAAGGAAGGAAGGAAGGAAAGAAAAGAAAAAAAGAATAGAGAAAGAGACAGAGAGAAAGAAAGAAAATAAATAGGTGTTGATGGGTACACAGCATATAATGATGTGATTTGGAGAACATAAAGAACATGGGGGATTTAACAGTAGATTGGAACTGTAAACAAACACAGATTTATTATAATATTGAAATTAAGCTGCTATTAATCCAATTTGTTAATGGCAATCCCCCAGAGACCACTAAGACTATAACCCAAAATGGCACAGCCATATCTGATGGGAATGGCAGAAGTCATAAAGCCAGCACAGCTGCTTGACAAAGATCCAGCAAAGCTGAGCCACATGACGGCCACTGTACCAGTCTGGGTTTCAATCTCTGTGTATTACATGCTTGGGGGTTTTTAATATTTGTACAATTTGGGGATAGTGGATTGATGGAAATTTTCTTATGAATCATGTATGCCTTCTCCCAGGAATGCTGCTTCTAGGCTTCCCCCAGGAAAGTTCTGAATATACTACCCCTCCCACTTTTAGGGAGGTATCCTTATCTACTTGAAGGTCTTCCTTACGCCTTTAAGGTTGTGACTCACATAAAGACTCCAGCGATCTCTTTATGAGGCTCTAATATATCTGCCCCTGTACTTATTCCAGAAAAAAGATAATCAGAGCAAAGTAAACTTAAAAGGTCAACAAGATTTGGAGAGAAGTTGGCAACAGATCACCTTACAAGTCTCTTCCTGCTATACAGGTGATTATGTGGCATATACAGCAACACAGTTAGATTAGCTGAAGTTACCTCTGCCCTACACAGGGACTTCTATGGATGGACAAAGAATGGTGTGGAAAGATGATAAAAGAATGAGATGTCAGGACCTCCCTTTGTTAGAAAAGTTAGCTCGCTCAGAGCCCTGTGATGTCATATGGCCAAAGAACAGAAGAATGCAGGAATATACACATAAATAAATTCTATAAAGATATAAATGCAAACATTGTATTATGCCAGAAATTGAATAATAACTGCAGCAGCTTTGGCCTGAGGATTTTTCTTGGACCTATTTGACAATTGGCACTCTGGCCATTAAGAGTTAATAATACACTGCTTAGGACATGACAGTCTACCCAGGCTGGCTTCGAAATTTTCTTTCTGTCTAGCATCCTTGAAGCTACAAGAGCTACCAGCCTGAAAATAGACTGTCATATGCCTCTAAAATTCTAAAAATTGGGCTATGGGGTTGATGAGTAAAAATGATTATAAAAGATAACTCTGTTCTGTCATGGTTCATCAATGATGAATAAAGTTGTGGCCCCAGATGTACAAGAGAAAAAGTTAAACACATGTCTGGATACAAAAAAATGATATGATCTATGTTTTGGAACAACATGAATCTATTCTTGCTTACTAAATTCTATATAAATAAAGAAGCGCTCTGGCTGCTAGTCAGTCAGGCTGCCAGATTCTCACCACCACCAATGGCCTGGCTCACTCCTTCCCTGGACTCCTGCTTGCCTCCTCTCTGGAACCTGTCAACCACAGGGACTGGTCCTGGCACCAAAAAATGTTAATGGTGAAAGGAACCATAGGAGAACAAAAATAGCTCACTACAGAATATTTATTTAACATAAGTTAGAAAGGAGCAACAATAAAAGTAACATGTAACTGTGTGTCACCACACAGGCATGTGGGTTCACGAGGGTCTGTGGAATGGAGACTCAGAGGCATCTTAAGAACAGCCTTTCATGGCTGCAGGGGGGTCCAGCAAAGTTCCCTTTGCCTAGGGCATTTTTATTTATTCTCTGTTACAGTTTAGCCAGTTAATTTCTGTACCATCAAAACACCCTAAAAGGAGCTCCCAAAGACCAAATGCCAAGTGCAAGTTACTTGATTTATCAGGTACCTCGGTTTTCTAGGTTTCCTGAACCAAGTTCTGCACAGGCCTTTGATCCTTGGGGGACTCTTTGATCCTTGACTCTCAGACAAGATTCACATAGGGTGAGAGGAGAAACAAAAGGAAAGAGAAACAAAAGGTGTGGTTAAACAAAGGAAGGATTAGGGCTAGGTGCTGCTCTCAGGAACCAGGCCGGGAGCTCAGCAGGAATGCCCTACAGTAACACAGAAAAACAGCAAACAAAAATTCTTACATCATCAGCAATCACATTAAACATATATGGATTAATAGCTCCATTAGAAGCAGAGATTAGCAAAATGTAAAGGGAGAAACAGATTATTGCTATTTGCAAGTGGCATA